TTGGCAACAGTTTCAACAACTTCCAGCCGTTCCGAGGCGGCTCCACACCCATTTTCACAACTCAGGTGACCCTGAGGACACAGCCGAAGCCCCCAGGTGGCCTCAACGGCTCTTTAAAAAGGATGCAAATGACCAGCTTTGTCTGCAAGGAGGATAAATCCTTCCCTTCCCCTCCATCCAGTCGGAGCTTAAGAAGTTTCTTGGATGAGAAGCGAAACGTCCTCAAAAGAAAAAAACCAAAAAAAGTCCCATTGCCTCTTGAAGACGTTAAATGAATGGTTATAATAAGCAGGGGTTGGATTGTATTGGTTCAGACCGGTTCTGTAGAACTGGCTGTTATGATTCTGCGCAGTTCGGCGAACTGGCAAAATTGTGGCCCTGGCTGGCCCCGCCCCTCCCCGCCGGCCCCGCCCCTCCCCGCCCAGTCAATCCTTATCGTGCATGGGCGACATTGCTGATTGCGTTCTCCCCCGTCCAGTCACTCCTTAAGGCAGGGGTCCTCAACCACCGGGCCGCGGACCGGTACCGGGCCGTGGAGCACTCTGTACCGGGCCACAAAGAAAAATAAATAAAAAAAATGGCGGCTTTCTTCGCCTTCGGTGAATCCTGCTGGGATCGGGGATCAAGGACACAAATGAAAGAAGGGGAGGGAGGAAGCAACCGAAGCCTGTCCTGCTCTCTGGCTCAGCGGCTTCGGTTTCCTCCCGCCTCGTTCCTCTCTCAGTCGCTCTCTCGCTGCTCCACCAGCCCAGAAAGAAACTGCTTCAAAGAAGCCGGGGGGGGGTGGCTTTTCCTGTCGCCGCAGCTCCTCCGAAGCGCCCGTTCACCCCCACCCCACCCACCCGCGCGCGGTTCAATTCAGTGCCCCGTTCTGCCTGTCTGGTTGTTTGGGAGCAGCTTCGGCTGAGAATAATAACTATTCGCCTCTTTTTATCAGCCGAAGCTGCTCCGAAACGAAGAAGGCAGGCAGGCAGGCAGAACGGAGCACTGTGGATTGAACCGCGGGCGGGCGGGGTGCGGATGGGGGTGAACGGGCGCTTCGGAGGAGCTGCGGCGACAGGAAAAGCCACACCCCCCCCCCGGCTTCTTTGAAGCAGTTTCTTCCTGG